GGAGGCCGAGCGCGTCGCGTGAGTTGAAATCGATGTGGCGAGTCGACCGCCAGTCCGTACGATGGCACTGCGACCGCGGCGGCTGCTGGCGAGGGCAGCAGCGGTGCGCGCGAGGCGGCAGCGTAATCGGGTCCGAAGTCCGGACCCGATTTGGGGTCGACACACCTTTTCCCCGAGTGGTGAGCTAGCCTTCGATGTGCGGCGCGCGCTAGATTCGGGTTGCCCGTAGGGCGGTTTCAGGTTGCCCTAAGCGCTAGGCGATCCCTCCATTCGAAAACGAGGTGGCTACTTGTCTCCCGCGTTGAAGGCGCGCAGCTGGGCGAGCCGGCTAACCTCGGAATGTGACACCATAATGGCTGTGCTGGCTCCTGCACAGAGCCATCTTACCTTTATATTGTGTCCGGGCAAGGCTCCAGCGACCAGCCCAGCACTGCGGCAAGACCGGACAGGGGCGGGTACCGCTCGGAAGCAGCGAGTCACACGCGGTCGTCGAAAGGCCGACACACCCGTGCGCGCTCACTCAGGCGGGCCAACAAGCGGAGAAGAGCTCGGGGAGGGGGGGGGGGGCAGACTGTGGCGCGGGGCAGGTGGCGGCCGGCTCTGGAGACTCGGAACAGAACCCTCCCCCCCTCTCGGCTCAGGCGGCGAACTCTGGGGTGAGGGCGTCGAGCTCTGTGAGGGTGGAGGAGACGGTGGAGGCCTAGCACAGGGGGAAACAGAAATACGTGAGGGCTGTGAGGGTGGTAGAGACGTGGAGGCCTAGGGCAGGGCAGGCAGCAGCCGCTGAGGAGGCGCTCTGTCGCCCGCACACACTGCCGCTCTCACGCGCTCGCCCTTCCTTGGGGGAGTGAGGGAAGAACAGGAAGGAGGTACGCGCTCGGCAAATCCCGGCAAATCTCGGCAAATCTCGGCAAATCCCGGCAAATCTCGGCAAATCTCGGCGGATCTCGGCCAACCTCGGCGGGTCTCGCTTCTCGGCTAGTGGGCTCGGCTAGTGTGTGCCCACGACTGCAGCCGCTCGGCCATCGTTGCGATCTGCGGCTGCTGCAGCACGCGCGGCTGCACCCACGTGACGGTGAGAGTTTGGTTGACCTGGCCGCGCGGAGAGGGGGCCGAGGTGAGCCGACGGGGGAGGGGAGGGGAGGCGAGGGGAGGGGGAGGGGAGGGGAGGGGAGGCGAGGGGAGGGGAGGGGAGGGGAGGGGAGGGGAGGGGAGGCGAGGGGAGGCGAGGGGAGGCGAGGGGAGGCGAGGGGAGGCGAGGGGAGGCGAGGGGAGGCGAGGGGAGGCGAGGGGAGGCGAGGGGAGGCGAGGGGAGGCGAGGGGAGGCGAGGGGAGGCGAGGGGAGGCGAGGGGAGCCGAGATGATGCCGAGATGATGAGAGATGGGGAGATATGGGGAGATACGGGGAGATACGGGTTGATATGGGGAGCGATGGACCTGGTCGATGACGCCGCGGATGATGCCGAGGGAGAGGGCTCGCATGAGGCAGATCTCCACCTGGGGAAAGAGGTCAGGAACACTTCTCCACACACACACACACACACACGCACGCACGCACGCACGCACGCACACGCACACACACACACGCACACACACACGCACACACACACGCACACACACACACACACACACACACACACACACACACACACACACACACACACACACACACACACACACACACAAGGTGCGAGGCCCACCCAGCGCGCGCCCACGGAGGCAGATCTCGGCAGATCTCGGGCAGATCTCGGGCAGATCTCGGGCAGATCTCGGGCAGATCTCGGGCAGATCTCGGGCAGATCTCGGGCAGATCTCGGGCAGATCTCGGCAGATCTCGGGCAGATCTCGGGCAGATCTCGGGCAGATCTCGGGCAGATCTCGGGCAGATCTCGGGCAGATCTCGGGCAGATCTCGGGCAGATCTCGGGCGGATCTCGGCAGATCTCAAGGGCAGATCTCCACCTCCTCCATCCGCAGCTTGGCGGCGGTGGCGATGTGCGCGAACGGGACGATGCGGTCGGCCCCCGGACCGGTGCGCTGGAAGAGGGTCTGGGTGAGGCACATGAGCGTGATCTTCTCCTGTGAATGAAGGAAGAGGTGTCTGGACGAGTGAAGCCTCGCAGGGTGAGGCACAGCAGCGTGCTCTGCTCTTCGCCTTGAGGAAGAGCGTGTTTGAGAGCAGCGCGGGCTGGGCTTCGAGCTGCACGTGCTCGCGCGCAACCAGCGCCTGTTCACAGCAGTGGGTGTGAAGAGACGCTGTTCACACCTCGAGGTGCATGTGCTCGCGCGCAACCAGCGCCTGTTCACAGCAGTGGGTGTGAAGAGACGCTGTTCACACCTCGAGCTGCACGTGCTCGCGCGCAACCAGCGCCTAGGGGGACGTGGCCCTGAGTGATGTGTACGCCCACTCAGGGTGTGTGGCAGCCCGCTGGCTGTGTGTCTTGTGAGCTTGTTTGTGTCTGTGTGTCGCTCGTGCGTGTCGTCATCATCTGTCCGGCGTCCACCCATACCACGCTGGTGTCCAGTCCGAGCCTGGCTGTTCTTCACCTTACTACATACATACATAGCGCCTCGTACTGCTCAATGTCGCCACCGTTGAACGCGCGCAGTAGCTGGGCGAGCCACGCGTACCTAGAGAGAGAGAGAGAAGAGAAGAAATCGGCGGTCCGAAACAAGAAATGCCGGTCCCATGGGCGACGGGCGCACCTAGAGAGAGAAAAAGAAATACGTGGGCGGCCGCAAGAACTATGGCTTCTGGCGGCGCGTACTGTGTCTGCTCGAGCGTGAGATAGGGGGAGATAGGGGGAGATAGGGGGAGATAGCGTACTGTGTCTGCTCGAGCGTGGCGACCACCGGGTGCTCGAGCAGCTCGCCTGTGAGACGGGGAGATAGGGGGAGATAGGGGGAGATAGGGGGAGATAGGGGGAGAGAGGGGGAGATAGGGGGAGAGACAGAGAGAGAGGGAGAGAGGGAGAGGGAGAGAGAGGGAGAGAGGGAGAGGGAGAGGGAGAGAGAGAGAGAGAGAGAGGGAGAGGCACAGGGAGGGAGAGAGAGAGAGAGAGAGAGAGAGAGGGAGAGGGAGAGAGAGAGAGAGAGAGAGAGAGGGAGAGGGAGAGAGAGAGAGAGAGAGAGAGAGAGAGAGAGAGAGAGAGAGAGAGAGAGAGAGAGGGAGGGAGAGAGAGAGAGAGAGAGAGAGAGAGAGAGAGCTCGCCAAAGTTGTACAGCTTCTCGCCGACCAGCGCTGCGATCCCGAGGTC